ATTTTCTTCCAAGTTCTTCTTTTTCTTCTCCTGTAGTTTCCTTTTCTCTTGCCTCTTTTTCAGCTATGCGTTCCTGGTCCTGTTCTCCCAACTCCACACTAGCAATTCCTTAGGAACCACCTTGAGGAGCTCCTCAATGTCGGCCTCATCCGCACCCAGGCTGAAGTCGTTTGTCATCTCAGCCACACCCTTGTTGATATTTGTAACCTCCTCATCCTTGGCAAATCCTTCGAAGTCATGGATGAACCTCGAGTCTTCTTCCAGACGCCATTCCTATGCTTCTTGGTGACATCACCCCAAGCCCAAGCAAGGTTCTTCATGCAGTCACAAACATAATCCTTCCAGAATTGCACAGAGTCTTCTCAGTGTCTTCCTCGGTTGCAGCCATGGCCTGGGCAAAGGTCCTCCTCAGGCAGTTGGCCTTAAGCTGCTGTAACTCCTTGATCCATTGATTGGATGAAAGAGATGGTGTTTAAAGCGAGTAACACCGCTTGGATACTGGGCTGAAGATCACCAATGAAAGGAGGATGAATAGGAGCATTTTTAACAATAAACAAAATCTTGAAAGGTATGTTATTCTCCAAACAGTACCTCTCCGTCCCTCCGGCACAGTGATTCACGAGGGTGTCTTGGAAGAAAAACTAAGTGATCCATGACTTCTTATCGCTCCTGTCGTCCACTGGCAGCGTGTGCTTACTGCTATATGCTTGAAGGCCTGGGGGTTCTCGCTGTGCCAGATCACACAGGGTTTCAATTTGTAGCCTGCAACACCAACCCAGGCAAGACAGCTGCTACCCTGTCCTTAAAAGCCTTGAAACCTGGCATCGACTGGGCCTCCTTATGGATGAAGGTCCTTTCAGGTGTCTGTTTCCAGAATGGAGTTTTCGTCCATACTGAAGATTTGCTCTGGCAAGTAATTTCCCTCCACAATCACCTTATCTGGAGTTTCCTAAAATTCTTCAGCTGCCTTCACATCAGCACTCGCAGACTCACCACTCACTTTCACATCATGAACAATGATTCTTGAACTATTTAAACCATCCAGAGTCAGGAGTAAATTCAGTATTATAGTCAGGTCTGGCCTTTTCTCTCAACATCGCAACCAAACTTTTTGTTGTGGCCACGATCATCACGGCGCTGAGAGGGATCTGTTTCTGGGTCTGGTCTTCAGTCCAGGTCGTTAGAATTTTCTCCATATCTGACACAGGCCTGTCTTGAATTTTTGTTAGTCTCGTTGCCTTCAATGAAGCAGATCCTTAAATAGGATCTGTCACTTTGTTCTTGTTCTTCAAGATTGTAGCTATGGTGGAAGGGGACATGCTGGCCTGGAGAGCAATAACCATCACTGATTTTCCACCTTGTTAGTCCCTGATCACTTTAATTTTGTTTCCAGGTCAATCACTCCATGTGGCCTCTTATTGGCAACATGAGCCATGAATTTTATGTACTTAGAGACCATAACAAACAAGACAACATGAGATCAAATAAAGCACAGAGAAAATGATGCAATCAAGAGACTGAGTAAACATGAGATGAACAAGGCTGTTGCCGGGTAACATGGCATACTGTTTTACGGTAAAATTTTTTTCATAAGTAGAAATAAAATATACCAATATATTATCACTGTAAAATACCAATAAAAAGTAAATACATAATCCAGTAACATAGTAATTTATCATTATTATCAAGTATTATGCACAATTCATAATTGTATTCCTAGACTGTGGTAGCACAGATTTGTTTACACCAACATCACTACAAACACAGGTAACGTGTTGTGCTATGGTATTAGGATGGCTACGCTGTCCCAGACAAAAGGAATTATTCAGCTCCATTATAATCTTATGGGATCACTGTTGTCTAACTATGCTAAGTGCTAAGGAGTAAAAACGGGCTAAGATAACAGATAATCATGCCAGATAGATGGTTAGAAAAGACTTCTCTGAGAAAGTGATATATAGGCAAACATCTAAAGATAATTACGGAATTAGCCAGATGGAGGATTGGTGGGAGGAAGGGAGATGGTTGGTACTTTCTGAGCAAAGAGAAGTCCTTAGTAAAGAATTTAGCACATCTAAGAAACTGCAAGAAGGCCAGAGTGACTACAGTGAGTGAGGACAATGCTGTAAAGTGAGGATGGAGAAAGCGGCATAGGCCAGATCACAGAGTGTTATAGGACACAATAGGACATTTTTATTCTAACTTAAATGCAATTGGGAGTCACGGAAAATTTTTAAGCATGGAAGTGACATGACCAACTGTACTTTTAAAAAAAAAAATCTCGTGTGTGAGTGGGAGAGGGAGATGAAGAGAGGTTGGTTAATGGGTACAATCATACAGTTAGATAGGAGGTATAAGTTCTCATGATGGATAGCAGAGTAGGGTGACTACAGTTAGAAACAATGTATTATATATTCCCAAGTAGCTAGGAGAGAGAACTTGAAATGTTCCTAACACACAGAAATGATAAATATTCAAGATGATGGATACCCAGATTCCCTGACTTGATCATTACCATTCTATGAACATAACAAAATATCACATGTGCCCCATAAATA